ACTACTTCCACTACGACTACGACTATACTACTACTACTACTACTACTACTACTACGCTACTACTACTACTACTACTACTACTACTACTACTACTATTACCACTACTACTACTACTACTACTACTACTACTACTACTACTACTACTACTACTACTACTACTACTACTACTACTACTACTACTACTACTACTACTACTACTACTACTACTACTACTACTACTACTACTACTACTACTACTACTACTACTACTACTACTACTACTACTACTACTACTACTACTACTACTACTACTACTACTACTACTACTACTACTACTACTACTACTACTACTACTACTACTACTACTACTACTACTACTACTACGACTACGACTACGACGACCAATCAAGAACATAAGATGTATCGATCCCCCTTCGATACTCGAGCGCCCAAAGCCTTGACCGCTTCCTGAACTTGACTGCGCGTGCTACTGATACTGCCACCCTACCCACAGCAGGTTCGTGCCATGACGGCCCGGGCGCTGGTTTCTGACACCGCATGGATCGTCCAGCCTTGCACGATTGGCGGCTTTTCGATCACCAGATCGTTTCGTAATGGACGATTCTGGGCCAACGGCGACGCTCAACTCTGCACGCAAGCGCTGGGGTCCCCGCCGCGTCGACACGACACGAACCTGCCGGTCCGCTACCAACTGGAGTGCCCGACGAGCGGAGGGCAAAGGCGGGCGCCCATCACCGCGTCGGGACGGGCTTGAGCTGCCCCACCCTGGCGCGAGGCGGACAGGGGCGGGGCGGAGGGCACGCAGTTTCGAGGCTGCGCTGCGAGAGGGCGTGCACCATGTGGGATGAGGAGGAGGAGGAGGAGCATCAATATCAGATATGTTCCCCAACAAGTGCTTGCACGTATGGGATCTTACTTGTCTCGTGAGAAACTGAGCATGGCTGTCAGTTCCGCCGCCTTGTAGCCACCCGTCGCCGACCGTCGCCTGGGCCTGGTTGCCACCGTCGCCGCCCGTCGCCGACCGTTGCCTGGGCCTGGTTGCCGCCGTCGCCGCCTCGTCGCCGCCCGTCGCCTCGTCGCCGCCTGGGCATGCTTGCCGGTTCCGCCGCCCGTCGCCTTGGCAGGAGGAGCATCAGTATCAAGTTTGTTTTCTGATGCTCTCTGGCCGTCTAGGGCCTCCCAAAGCTTCCCGCACACCTGGTGAAGTCCAGGGCTCGATGTGCGAGCGAAGGCAAGGAGGCCTCCCAAAAGCTTCCCGCACACCTAGTGAAGTCCAGGGCTCGATGTGCGAGCGAAGGCATGGAGGAGGGCGGAAGATGAGACGGAGGGAGGAGAGAGGCAAGGAGGTTCGGAGGTCTAGACGGCTTCAGCTGGTTCTAGAGGAGTATAAACGGGTTCTGGACGAGTCTGATGGGTGTTTCTGGTGGAAGAGGGGAGACGACGTCATCGTCCCTCATGCATAATTCCTCATCCTCCTATCATCATCATCAGCAGCAGCAACAGCATCATCATCATCATCATCATCATCATCATCATCGTCGTCGTCGTCATCATCATCATCATCATCATCATCACCACCACCACCACCACCACCACCACCATCATCATCATCATCATCATCATCATCATCATCCTAATTACCTCCCTCCTCCCCTCCCTCCCTCCCGCCCTCCCTCCCCCCTCACCTCCCTCCCTCCCGCACTCCCGCCCTCCCTCCTCCCTCCGCCCCCCTCCCCCTCTCACCCCTCCCCATTCCTGCTCCTCCAGCAACTGCTCCTCCTCCTCCTCCTCCTCCTCCTCCTCCTCCTCCTCCTCCTCCTCCTCTTCCTCTAACTCTCCTTCGTTTTCGTCTTACTCATACTATATGTATCCACAAACAAAGCTTGCACTTAGGGGGTCTTAATTTTTCCTGGGGAAATGGACCTACGGGCCAGTCTGCCGGCTGCGTGCTGGCCGTCGCCGCCACGTCGCCGCCTCGTCGCCGCCAGTCGCCTAATCCTGGCGGGACGGTCTGGTCTGGAAGCTCCGTGCTCGCCGTCGCCGCCCCGTCGCCACCTCGTCGCCACCTCGTCGCCACCCGCTGTCTGGTGGGCCTACGTGAAAGTCTGGCGGTTCCGTGCTCGCCGGTCGCCGCCCCGTCGCGGCCCCGCTTTTTCATTGCGCGGCTTTGCCTTGCTCTGCCTTGCTTTGTATCGCTTTGCATTGCATTGCTTCGCATTGCGTTGCCTCGTCGTTTTCCATGCCGATTGCCCCACATAGATTGCACAACATAGATTGCACCACATAGATAGCACCACGTTGATTGCGCTAAATCGATTGCGCATCAGATAGATTGCATCACATAGATTGAAAACATGGGTTGCACAATATGCATTGTAACACGTTGATTCCGAAACATTCAACAAGGATTGCTCCCGAAATACTACACAACTTAGATTGCACAAAGAAAGTAACATGGATTCTCCGGGAACCGATGCAAAACGCATAGGATTCTGACCCAATGTCCATCCTACCTGTGAATTCATACTATCCCAGCCAAACCGGTATTGGGCCCCCCCCCCGCCATCCTGTGCAAAAAAATATGCGCGCACACTCGTTTATCAAAAATCATATGTTTTCAAGAATCCCTTTCAAAAAATGGGACGAAGTGCACACGCGCTCGACGTCGCGCGTGCATGCCGAAATCCTTCAAAAACCTTCGGTTTCGGAAGGATGTCAAAATCGAGTGCATACAAAAACACAGGGTTCCGCAACACTGATGTTCGAAAAAAGCTTACGCGCGCGCCCTGGTGAAATCTTAAGAAAACCATTGGTTTTCAACATTTTCAAAAAATAGTACCCAAACGGGCTTCGCGCGCGCGCATGTCGAATCGTTCGAACGCCCTTGCGCGCGTGCCGTCGCGAGAATCCTCTGCAACAAATGGGACGAAGTGCACGCGCGCGCGTCGTCGCGCGCGCATGCGGAAATCCTTCACAAACCTTCGGTTTCTGAAGGAGTTCAAAATCGAGTGTCCGAAAAACATACAAAAACACAGGGTTTCGCAACATGAGTTTTCAACAAAAACGTGCGCACGCGCTCTTGCGTCGTCGTCGTCGTCGCCGTCCCTCCTCACTAGTCGTCGTCGTCGTCGCCGTCGTCGTGCTGTGTCTTTCCTCGTCGTCGCCGTCCTCTTTGGCGTCGTCGTCGTCGTTTCCGTCGTCGTTGTCGCCGTGGTCGTCCTCCCTCCTCCCTCGTCGTCTTTGTCGTCCGTCGTCGGCGTCTCGTCGTCGTCCCTCCTATTTCGTCGCCGTCGTCGTCGTCGTATTCCCTCCTCCCTCGTCGTTGTCGTCGTCGGCGTCGCCGTCCTCCCTCCTTCTTCGTCGTTCGCGTCGTCTTCCCTCCTCCCTCCTCCCTCGTCATTGTCGTTGTCGCGGTCGTCGTCGTCCCTCATCCCTCGTCGTCGTCGTCTTCGTTGGCGACGTCGTCGTCGTCTTTGTCGTCGTCGTCGACGTCGTCGTCGTCATCGGCGTCGGCGTTGTCGTCGTCGGCGGCGTCGTCGTCGTCGTCGGCGTTGTCATCGTCGTCGTCGTCGGCGTCTGCGTCGTCGTCGTCGGTGTCGTCGTCGTCGTCGTTGTCGTCGTCGTCGAAGTCATTGGAGACGCCGTCGGTGTCGTCGCAATCGTTGTCGGCGGCGTCGTCGTCGTCGCGGTCGCTGTCGTCGTCGGCGTCGGTGTCGCTGCCAAGTGCCATTTGGTACCTACCGTCACGGTCTTAAGAGGTCTTGCGACCCAAGTTGCGGGTGGGAGGGTGGGATGTCTGCACGAGCAGTGGAAAGGAAAGCTTCAAGTTGAGCAAGTGATTGATTGCACCACGTATATAGCACCACGTCGAACATGGAGTTCTCCACATAGTTTGCACAACACAGACTGCTAGAAACCCCGGTTTGGATTTCCAACCTGGCTGGCATACTTATAGTATGCATAGCCGTAGTAATAATAGTACCAGCATTCGAAATATTATTCCTCCTCCACCTCGTCCTCCCCCTCAGCATCATCATCATCACCAGCATCAGCATCAGCAGCATCATCGTCATCAGAATCATCATCATCAGCAGCATCATCATTATCGTCGTCGTCATCAGCATCAGCATCAGCATCAGCATAATCATCGTCATCAGCATCATCATCGTCATCATCAGCATCATCAGCATCGTCCCGCCTCCCTCCTCCCTCCGCCATCATTCCTCCCTCGCTTCATCCGCCTCCTCGGCCTGCCCATGCTCCACTACCACCGTCACCATCACCACCACCATAATCCCCATCACCACCACCATCGCCATCATCAACAACAGCCGCGGCATCACCATCACCATCATCGTAGTCATCCTCATTTTCCTCATCCCCATCATCGTCATCAGCAGCATCATCATCACCATCACCATCAGCATCAGCATCAGCATCCACATCAGCATCATCACTATCACCATCAGCATCATAATCAAGCCAGCATCAGCATCATCAGCATCATCAGCATCACCAACATCACCAACATCATCATCATCATCATCATCAGCAGCAGCAGCAGCATCAGTATCAGCATCAGCATCATCATCATCATCAGCAGCATCATCAGCATCATCATCATCGTGATCATCAGAATCGTAGCCACCACCATCGTTATCTTCATAATTCTCATCAGCAGCAGCGTCATTACTATCGTCGATAATGTCATCGTCCCCGTCCTCGTCATGATGAGCATCATCACCACCATCATCATCATCAGAAACGACATCATCACGATCATCATCACCGCCATCAGCATCATCACGATCAGCATCATCATTATCAACATCATCATCATCAGCATCATCATCAGCATCATCATCATCATCGTCAGTAGCATCATCATCATCACCATCAGCATCATCAGCATCATCGTCACGATCATCACCATCATCATCATCATCATCATCATCATCATCATCATCATCATCATCATCATCATCATCATCATCATTATCACCATCATCACCAGTTCACCGTACATCAACAGCATAATCACAATTACAACGTACTTAGCATTATGATCATGATCAGGATCATCATTGTCATCATCATGAGCAGCAGCATCCTCACCATCACCATGGACATCGCCATCGTCATCGTCATCATCATCGCCGCCATCACCATCAGAATCACCATCACCACCATCAGCATCATCACCACCACCATCATCACCATCAACATCATGATCGTCATCATTATCATCAGAAACATCACCACCACAACCATCATCATCCTCATCCTCATCATCATCATCATCATCAGATCATCACCACCACCGCCACCACCATCATCATCACCCGCATCATCATGATCATTATCAGCATCAGCATCAGCATCAGCATCATCATCTGCATCATAATCATCATCATCATAATCATCATCATCGTCGTCATCATCATCAGCATCATCATCGTCATCCCTCCTCCTCTCCATCTCCGTGACACCCAGTCCGCCTCGTTCCCCGCCTCATTCCTTCTACCACCTCTATCCCTATCCTCCATCCCTCCTCCTCCGCCCGCCACCTCCCACCGCGTGCCCGTGGGGCGAGGGAGGTAATTGGGAGGACAGCAACAGCAAAAGGAAGGGTGAAGGAGAGAGGAGTAGTAGAAGGAGAATCCCACGGGCCAATTTTTTGTGAGGATCCTTTGTGGAGGACAAGGGGTCCGGTTTAGGAGTCCAGCTTCTTACAACCGATGTATATGCATGTCCAGTGTACCAGGCCAACGAGTCATCATCATACTATCACTTGTGTCCACCTCCGTATCGTCTTATTGTTGATCAAAAGCCGAAAAAAAACATACTCGTCAGATTTACGGCCGCAGTCCTGGCAACTCCTCAACAATGCCATCCATTGCGTGCACTACTGGATTCGCTCTTTACACTCAAGCGATATGGCAGAGACGATGTCTTCCATCAAGTACGGGCTCCCAGCAGTATGTATCATGTCCTGTCCCCTCACTTCTCCTCGAAACCCGCCTTCAAGGACACCTTCCTCGCACGGTAGGGTTAAACCACAGAGTCGCACCTAACCAGTATGTGTGGCCTGCACCTACGTATCCTTGTCCCCTGGCTGGCCCTCTGAGGGTCTCGATCATTGAGGCGCCCACGACAGAGGGGGTCTGGAGTTTTAACGCGCGAGGAAGGGTCTGGATCATCAGGCTGGGGCGAGTTTACAGGCGTGCCGCAGCCCAGCCATTCCTGTGCTGTGCTGAACACCTTGGCTGCCGAAGGATTGAGTCGAATCGAGGAGGAGGAGTACCAGGAAAAGAAAGAGGAGGAGGAGGAGGAGATGACGAGAAGAAGGTGGGGGAGCACGGGAAGGGGGAGGGGGAGCAGGAGGAGGAAAAGCGTGAGAAGCGAAAGGAGGAAGGACGAGAAGGAGGAGGAGCAGGAGTACAGTACAGCACTCAACCCCATCAAGCTGCCTGTGGGTCCCTTGGGAAGACTCTTGGTCAGCAGGGAGGAGGAAGGAGCAAAGGGAAAGAGGAAGACAAGGACGAGGGACTAGGAAGAGGAAGTGGGAGAAGGAAGGAGGAGGTGGTGCAGGAGGAAGAGGGAGGAGAAGAGGAGGATGGAAAGAGGAGGAGGAAGGGAGGAGGAGAGAGAAGAGGAGGACGGAGGACGGAGGAGGAGGGAGGAGGATGAGGGTAGGAGATGAGAAGAAGGAAGCGAGAGGGGGGAGGGAGGAGGAGGAAGAGGCGGAGGAGGAGTAGGAGCGAAGTGGAAGCTCCCAGCCTCCGGAGCTCCGAGACTCCGACGCAGCCCAGGATCCAGATCGCGAGCCCGATCAACATCAGATTCATCTCGGGGTCCCAAACGCGGGCGAGTTCCTGCGAGTGGCCGGGTTCCTGCTCATCGCGCTGCTGATCCTACCTCTCTCCATCCTGCTGCTGCCCACCCCTTCCCCCCGGTTCCTCTTTTTCCCCCTCCTCATGCTCTTCCTCCTCCTCCTCCTCCTCCTCCTCCTCCTCCTCCTCCTCCTCCTCCTCCTCCATTCCTTCTCCTTATAGTTAATTCCTCCCTGTCGCACCCCGAGGCCAGTTTTTAGGTCGGGCCGGGCGTTTCGCCTGAGACATCCTCAGCATTTATGATTCTGAAGCTTAACAAGTGACAGCAGTTTCACAGATTGAGGGCGGGTGGTTTTCAAAATGTGGCTCTCGCCTTAGCGCCGCGCACATTCGTTTTCAAAATCTGCAAGAGCTTCACGGATTGAGGGCGGGTCGTTTTCAAAATGTGGATCTCGCCTTAGCGCCGCGCACATCCGTTTTGAAAATCTGCAAGAGCTTCACGGATAGAGGGCGGGTGGTTTTCAAAATGTGGCTCTCGCTTCAGCGCCGCGAGCATTTTTTGACATTTGCAGCAGTTTCACGGATTGAGGGCGGGTCGTTTTCAAAATGTGGCTCTCGCTTTAGCGCCGCGCACATTCTGTATAAAAATGCAAGAGCTTCACGGATTGAGGGCGGTTCCTTTTCAAAATGTGGCTCTCGCTTTAGCGCCGCGCACACTCGTTTCAAATGTTGCAAGAGTTCCACGGATCCCCATGACCAACGTACCAAAAACATGTTTTGGAAGGATTCTGGATTATGCGGGTGCAACAATTGTGTTGATTCGCGGTGTCGAAATCCAAACAATGACGTTATGGCACGATTCAGGATCGCCAAAACGCAGCAGTCAGGTTGATACGTGGCGTGGAAATCCCGAGAACCATATTCTGGCATGCTGCAAGATTTATAAACGTTTGTCTTCCAACGAGGCAGTTCCCTCAATGGAAATGAACCGTTGTAGGGGCATATGAAGAGGGAGCTTGGAAGGAGGGTTAATCCCAACATCGTTGATGAGCCTTGGGTTTACACTGGTCCTCCTCCTCGTCGTCCTCCTCCTCCTCCTCCTACTAATTCTTCTCCTCGTCCTCTTCCCTTTTCCTTCTCCTCCTCCTCCTCCGCTTTCCATCCCTCCCTCCCCTTTTCCCTCCCTCCCTCCTTCACTCAATCCCGCCATCCATCCTTCAATCCCTCCTTCCCTTCATCCCTCCTCCTGTTCCTCCTCCTCCTCCCCCTCCTCCTCATCCTCCTCGTCATAAGATTCCTCCTCCTCCTCCTCCTCCTCATCATCATCATGTTCCTCCCCCTCCTCATCCTCCATTTGTTATTAATGAGTAGATTCGTCTTCTTCGTATGTGTATTATTGTTAGTATTCGTGTTCCTGCTCTTCGTAGTATTGTTCTTATGCTTACTATTAGTAGTATTGCTAAATTATTATCAGTAGTCTTAAATATTAGTAATCGCATTATCATCATTATTCGTGTTAGCAGTATTATTCGTATTAGTACACTTCTTAGCATTATTACATTTCTTAGTATGCATAATATTAGTATTACTGATAGTGATATTCGCATTAATGTCTTAGCAGTATGGTTGGTATTGCGATTGTTAATAGTAGTATCAGTGTTATTCGTCGTCTTCGTATGTTTCTACTTATTAGCGTTAACGCTAGTCGTCGTAACATTATGCTTGTTCTCCGTGTGCACATTCGTATTGTCAATATTATTATTGTTCGTTTTCGCCGTACTAGATTTAATCGTAAAAATAACTACTAGCAAGTGTCTTAGTTGCCTATGTGTTAGTAGTGTTGCTAACCCCGCTTAAGGAACAGTATTCTGGATTGAATGAATACTAGTGTTCGTGTTCGTCTCAGTCAGCTTCTTCTTCGTTGTTGTTCCTGATTGTTATTATTATCAGGCTGGTGGGTCGTTTCAGTCGTGTTCATGTTCGTCTTATTGGTATGATTAGTCTTCTGACTGTTATTATTATTCGTCTTACAACTGTTACTATTATTATGCGCCGTAGTATCATTGTGGTTAGTCTTATTATTAGTATTAGTGTTAGTGTCATGTTTCTTTTTCATCCTCCTCCTCATCCTCATCATCATCCTCCTCCTCTTCCTCCCCCGCCTCCTTCTCCTCTTCCGCCTCCTCCTCCTCCTCCTCCCCCCCTTCCTCCTCCTCCTCCTCCTCCTCCTCCTCCTCCTTCTCCTCTTCCTCCTCCTCTTCTTCTTAGTATTATCGGTATGCTTATCCTTATTATTTGAGTTGTTATTATTCTTATTATGATTATTAGTATTATAAGTATGCATAATAACATTGTTATTGTTATCATTATTCTTATTAATATTATTCCTCCTCCTCCTCCTCCTGTTCCTCTTCCTCCTCCTCCTCTTCCCCTCCCCCCTCAACGCCTCAGAGAGAAAGAAAAAGGCTTGAACATAATTATGGCAACCGGAGACATCAACCGCACACACTTCCCTTCACCTTCCCGTGCAAACACACACACACACAAACGTCGTCGGTGCCGTCGTCGTCAGCATCATCATCATCATCATCATCATCATCATCATCATCATCATCATCATCAGCAGCATCATCATCATCATCAGCAGCAGCAGCAGCATCCTCGTCGTCATGCTCATCATAATGTCTTTTCGTCCCCCCTCCTCCTCCTCCTCCTCCTCCTCCTCCTCCTCCTCCTCATCATCATCATCATCATCAGCATCATCATCAGCATCAGCATCCGCATCATCATCCGCATCAGCATCATCATCATCATCATCATCATCATCATCATCATCATCGTCATCATCGTCATCATCATCATCATCACCATCATCATCAGATTCCTCCTTCTCGTCATCCTCGTCCTCCTTCTCGTCCCCCCCGTTTCACCCCTCCCCGTCTGCATAACAATGGGGTCACCCCCCAAACAATTGAGCTATGTGTCCCCTCCTCCTCCGCATGGTCCCTCGCCTCCAACCCCTCATCCTCATCCCCACCTCCTCCACCTCCTCATTCCCTGCTTCTCCTCATCATCCCTACTTCCTTCTTGTTGTGGCTAGCCCGTGGCAGTCCCTCTTCCCTTCTTCTCCCTCCTTCTCCTCCTTCTCTTCCTCCTCCCGTTCCTCCCCGTCCTCCTCCCTTTGGGGCTGTAGCAAGTCCTGCAGTGCAAGCTGCACGACGGGCTGCAGTAGGAACTGCGGTAAGATCTGGTGTGGGAGCTGCAGCAGGAGCAGCAGCAAGGGGCTCCCGGGGAGCCGCTACAGAGGGGCCTCCGCGACAGCTACGGAGACTTGAAGGGAAGGAGGGAACACTGCTCCACCACAGCCCTCCCCGAAGTTCCACAGGAGCCTGCGGGGACCTGAAGGGCCCGCAACAGCAACGGGAGGGGGGCGAAGGGGCCCTACGTTGCTGCTGCTGGGAAGGGGGCGCGGTTAAAGCGTCGCCAGCGGGTGCGTTCGTCAACGAAGCCATAAACTGCAGTGGCACAAGCTGGAGGCCCTAAGCAGCAACGCAGCATCATTAGGCACAGAGTGCGTGTGCGTGCGTTCGTGCGTGCGTGCGCGTGCGCGGGTGCGGGTGCGTGCGTGTGCGTGTGCGTGTACGTGTGCGTGTGCGTGTGCGCGTGATTGTGTGTGCGTGCGCGTGCGCGTGAACGTGCGCGTGTGCGTGCGCATGCGTGTGCGTATGCGTGTGCGTGTGCGTGTGCGTGTGCATGTGCGTGTGCGTGTGCGTGTGCGTGTGCGTGTGCGGTGTGGGCGGTGTGTGTGTGGTGTGTGTGTGTGTGGTGCGTGTGGTGTGTGTGTGTGGTGCGCGTGGTGTGTGGTGTGGTGTGCGTGGTGTATGTGGTGTGTGTGGTGTGTGTGGTGTGTGTGTGGTGTGTGTGGTGCGTGTGGTGTGTGGTGTGTGTGGTGTGTGGTGTGCGTGGTGTGTGGTGTGTGTGGTGTGTGTGTGGTGTGTGGTGAGTGTGGTGTGTGTGGTGTGTGTGGTGTGTGTGGTGTGTGTGGTGTGTGCGGTGTGTGTGGTCTGTGTGGTTTGTGTGGTGTGTAGGTGTGTGGTGTGTGTGGCGCGTGTGGTGTGTGAGGTGTTGGGTGTGTGTGGTGTGTGCGGTGCGTGTGTGGTGTGTGTGTTGTGTGTGTGGTGTGTGTGCGGGGTGTGCGGGGTGTGCGGTGTGTGCGGTGTGTGGTGCGTGTGGTATGTGGGTGTGTGTGGTGTGTGTGTGTGTGTGTGTGTGTGTGTGTGTGTGGTGTGTGTGTGTGGTGTGCGGTGTGTGTGGTGTGTGTGGTGTGTGTGCGTGTGTGTGTGGGTGTGTGCGGTGTGTGCGATGTGTGGTGTGTGTGGTGTGTGGTGTGTGTGGTGTATGGTGTGTGATGCGTGTGATGTGTGTGTGTGTGTGTGTGTCTGCGTGTGTGTGCGTGTGTGCGCGTGTGTGCGTGTGTGTGCGCGTGTGTGCGCGTGTGTGTGTGTGCGTGTGTGCGTGTCCGCGTGTGTGCTTGTGTGCGTGTGTGCGCGTGTGCGCATGCGCATGCGTGCGTGCGTTCGTGCGTGCGTGCGCATGCGCGTGCGCGTGCGCGCGCGCGTGCGCGTGCGCGGGTGCGGGTGCGGGCGCGTGCGCGTGCATGTGCGTGCGCGCGAGCGTGCGCGTGCGTGGGTGCGGGCGCGTGCGTGTGCGCGTGCATGTGCGTGTGCGCGTGCGTATGCGCGTGCGTGTGCGTGTGCGCGTGCTTGTGCGCGTGTGTGCGTGTGCGTGTGCGCGCGCGTGAACGTGCGCGTGTGCGTGCGCGTGCGCGCGCATATGCGCGTGCGTGTGCGTGTGCGTGTGCGTGTGCGTGTGCGTGTGGCGTGTGGCGTGTGTGTGTGTGCGGCGTGTGCGGTGTGTGTGGTGTGTGTGGTGCGCGTGGTGTGTGTGCATGTGTGGTGCGTGGTGTGCGCGGTGTGTGTGGTGTGTGGTGTGTGTGGTGCGGGTGGTGCGCGTGGGGCGTGTGGTGCGTGTAGTGTGTGTGGTGAGTGTGGCGTGTGGTGAGTGTGGTGTGTGTGCGGTGTGTGGTGCGTGGTGTGCGCGGGGTTGTGTGGTGCGGTGGGTGATGTGTGTGTGCGTGTGTGCGTGCGCGCGGGCGTGCGTGCGTGTGATTGCGCGTGTGTGCGTGGGTATGCGTGTGTTTACGTGTGTGCGCGCGTGCGTGCGCGCGTGCGCGCGCGCGTGCGCGCGCGCGTGCGTTCGCGCGTGGGCGCGCGTGCGCGCGCGCGTGCGCGTGCGCAAGCGCGGGCGTGTGCGCGTGCGCGTGCGTGTGCGTGTGCGCGCGCGAGTGCGTGTGCGCGTGCGTGTGTTTGTGTGTGCGTCTGCGTGTGCGTGCACGCGCGCGCGTGCGTGCGCGTGCGCGTGACCGCGTGCGCGCGCGTGCGCGTGCGCGGGCGTGCGTGTGCGCGTGCGTGTGCGTGCGCGTGTGCGTGTGCGCGTGCGTGTGCGTGAGCGCGTGCGTGTGCGTGTGCGTGTGTGGTGTGTGCGGTGCGTGGTGTGTGGTGTGTGTGTGTGGTGTGCGGTGTGTGTGTGGTGTGTGGTGTGTGGTGTGTGTGGTGTGTGTGGTGTGTGTGGTGTGTGCGGTGGTGTTGGTGGTGTGTGGTGTGTGGCGTGTGTGCGTTTGTGGTGTGTAGTGTGTGGTGTGCGTGGTGTGTGTGGTGTGTGGTGTGTGTGGTGCGTGGTGCGTGTGGTGCATGTGGTGTGTGCGGTGTGGAATGCGTGGTGTGCGTGGGGTGCGCGGCGCGCGTGGTGTGCGTGGTGTGTGTGGTGCGTGGGGTGCGCGGTGCGTGTGGTGCGTGGTGCGTGGTGCGTGTGGTGTGCGTGCGTGGTGTGTGTGGTGAGTACGGTGCGTGTGCGTGGTGCGTTTGGTGTGTGGTGCGTGTGGTGTGTGTGGTGTGCGTGGTGTGCGTGGTGTGCGTGGTGTGTGGTATGTGTGGTGTGCGTGGTGTGCGTGGCGTGTGTGTGTGTGTGGCGTGGTGTAGCGTGTGTGTGTGTGTGTGTGTGTGTGTGTGTGTGTTGTGCGTGTTTTGTGTGTGGTGCGTGGTGCGTGTGGTGTGTGTGGTGTGTGTGGTGCGTGGTGTGGTATGTGTGGTGTGTGCATGCGAAGTGTGGTGTGTGCGTGCGTTGCGTGTGTGGTGTGTGGTGTGCGGTGTGCGTGGTGCGCGTGGTGTGTGGTGCGTGTGCGCGTGTGTGCGTGTGTGCGCGTGTGTGTGCGTGTGCGTGCGCGCGTGTGCGCGTCTGTGCGTGCGCGCGCGTGCGTGCGCGGGTGCGTGCGCGCGTGCGCGCGTGCGCGCGCGCATGCGCGCGCGTTCGTGCGTGCGCGCGCGCGTGCGCGCGCGCGTCCGCGCGCGCGTGCGCGGGCGCGGGTGCGCGTGCGCGCGCGTGCGCGCGCGTGCGCGTGCGCGTGCGTGCGGCGCGCGCGCGTGTGCGCGCTTGTACGTGCGTGCGCGCGCGAGCGCACGTGTGCGTGTGCGCGCGCGTGAGTGTGCTTGCGCGCGTGCGCGTGAGTGTGCGCGCGCGCGTGCGTGCGCGCGTGCGTGCGCGGGTGCGTGCGCGTGCGCGTGTGCGCGTGCTTGTGCGTGTGCGCGGTGCGCGGTGTGTGTGGTGTGTGTGGTGCGTGTGGTGTGTGGTGTGTGGTGTGTGTGCATGTGTGGTGTGTGGTGTGGTGTGTGTGGTGTGTGTGGCGTGTATGGTGCGTGGTGTGCGTGTGGTGTGTGGTGTGTTTTGTGTGTGGTGTGCGTGGTGTGTGGTGTGTGGTGTGTGGTGTGTGTGGTGTGTGTGGTGTGTGGTGTGTGGTGTGTGTGGTGTGTGGTGTGTGTGGTGTGTGTGGTGCGTGGTGCGCGTGGTGTGTGTGATGTGTGGTGTGTGGTATGTGCGGTGTGTGTGGTGTGTGGTGCGTGGTGTGTGTGGTGGGTGGTGTGCGTGTGTGTGTGGTGTGTGGTGCGTGCGGAGTGTGGTGTGTGGTGTGCGTGGTGCGTGTGGTGCGTGGTGTGTGTGGTGTGTGGTGCGTGGCGCGTGCGTGCGCCTGTGCGTGGTGCGCGCGTTGCGCGTGTGTGTGCGCTCGTGTGCGTGTGTGTGCGCGCGTGCGCGTGCGCGTGCGTGCGTGCGTTTGCGCGCGCGTGCGCGTGCGTGCGTGTGTTTGCGTGCGCGCGTGCGTGCGCGCGTGCGTGTCTGTGTGTGTGCGCGTGCGCGGGTGCGCGTGCGTGCGCGTGCGCGCGTGCGTGTGCGTGTGCGTGTGCGCGTGCGCGTGCGCGCGCGCGTGCGCGTGCGTGCGCGCGTGCGCGTCCTTGTGTGTTGTGCGCGTGCGCGTGCGTGAGCGCGCGCGAGTGCGCGTGCGCGCGCGCGTGCGTGCGTGTGAGTGTGCGCGTGCGTGTGCGTGTGCGCGTGCGTGTGCGTGCGCGCGCGCGTGTGCGCGCGCGGGCGCGGGCGCGGCCGCGGCCGCGGGCGCGCGCGCGCGTGCGAGTGCGCGTGCGTGCGCGGGTGCGGCCGCGGGTGCGTGCGCGTGTGCGGGCGCGTGCGCGCGCGTGTGCGCGTGCGTATGCGCGTGCGCGTGCGTGTGAGCGTGCGTGCGTGTGCGCGTGCGTGCGCGCGTGCGCGTGCGCGTGCGCGCGCGTGTGCGTGTGCGTGTGCGTGTGCGTGTGCGCGGGGGTGTGCGTGTGCGTGTGCGCGAGGGCGTGCGTGCGCGCGTGCGTGTGCGCGCGCGTGTGCGTGTGCGTGTGAGTGTGCGTGTGAGCGTGCGCGTGTGTGTCTGTCGGTATGTCTGTCTGTCTGTGTGCTTATGTGCGCGTGCGTGTGCGTGTGCGTGCGTGCGTGCGTGCGCGTGTGCATGTGCGTGTGTGCGTGTCCGTGTGTGTGCGTGCGCGCGTGTGCGCGCGTGTGCGTGCGTGCGTGTGTGCGTGCGCGTGTGTGCGCGCGTGCGCGTGCGCGTGTGCGCGCGTGCGCGTGTGCGTGCGCGTGCGTGCGCGTGTGCGTGTGCGTGCGTGCGCACGTGCATGCGTGCGCATGTGCGCGTGTGCGCGTGCGCGCGTGCGCGTGCGCGCGCGTGCGCGCGCGTGCGCGCGTGCGCGCGCGTGTGCGCGTGTGCGCGTGTGTGCGCGCGTGCGTGCGCGCGTGTGCGCGTGTGCGCGTGTGTGCGCGTGCGCGTGCGCGCGTGTGCGCGCGTGCGCGTGTGCGCGTGCGCGCGCGTGCGCGCGTGCGCGCGCGCGGGCGCGCGCGCGGCGCGCGGCGCGCGCGTGCGGCGCGCGGGCGCGCGGCGGCGCGCGGCGCGCGGCGCGGCGCGCGGCGCGCGGCGCGCGGCGCGCGGCGCGCGGCGCGAGGCGCGCGGCGCGGCGCGCGGCGTGCGGCGCGCGGCGTGCGGCGGCGTGCGGCGTGCGGCGTGCGGCGTGCGGCGTGCGGCGCGCGGCGCGCGGCGTGCGGCGCGCGGCGCGCGGCGCGCGGCGCGCGGCGTCCGCCGCGGCGTCCGCGGTCTGCGGATCGGCCCGGGCAGCTCGCGCAGCGGTGGCGGCCGTCTCCGCAGCTACCACAGCGCCAGCGACCGCGCCGCCGAGCGCGCTGGCCGCGCCGCTGCTGGGAGGCACGTCGTCCGTCTCAGCCGAGAGGCCGTCCAGGTCGATGACGCCGTTGGTGCTCGCACCCAGCCTTGTGAATGGGGCGACAGGCGGCGATGCCCCCCACACGACGGTCAGCAGGTAGCCCACCTTGCGCTGCAGCTCGGAATCCACTGGAGGCGTCGCGCGCGCGCCCAGGGGGGCCGCCGCAACGACGGCCTGCTGGATCTGCTCGATGCGCGCCTCGCCCCGCCTCTGGCCGAGCGCGGTACGCTGGCAGGGCTGGGCGTCCAGCGTCTTCCATCCATCGCTGGGCAGTGGCAGAACGCGTGCAATGGCGGCACGTGACCCGCTGCGCGCCGTCGGCATCAGTGCTGTGGACCCAGTCGTGCTCCGAGAGCAGCAGCTTGGGCGGCACCGGCGGGGGCTCGGGCGCGCGAGGCTCGTCGGCTGGCGCATCCCACAACCCCGTGGCCGAGATGCGGGTGGACGCCCATGTGAAGAAGTGCGCCACCTGCAGGTTGCGTTCGAGCCGCAGCTGCAGGTCCCGAGCGAACCCTTCCGCCAGCTTGACGCACTGCATGGCCAAGTCGGCGAGAAAGTCGTGTGTGTGTGTGTACGCGTGTGCGTGCGAGTGCGTGCGTGTGTGTGCGTGCGCGTGTACGTGTGCGCGTGTGCGGGTGCGTGTGCGGGTGCGTGTGCGTGTGCGTGTGTGTGTGCGCGTGTGCGTGTGCGTGAGCGTGTGCGTGTGCGCGTGAGTGTGTGCGTGTGCGTGTGTATGTGCGTGTGCGTGTGAGTGTGCGTGTGTTCGTGCGTGTCTGTATGTGTGTGTGCGTGTGCGTGTGCGTTCGCGTGTGCGCGTGTGTGTGTGTGTGTGCGTGTGTGTGTGTGCGTGTGTATGTGCGCGTGCGTGTGTGTGTGTGTGTGTGTGCGTGCGCGCGTGCGTGCGTGTGAGTGTGTGTGTGTGTGTGCGCGTGTTCGTGTGCGTGTGCGCGTGTGTGTGTGTGTGCGTGTGCGTGTGTGCGTGCGTGTGCGTGTGTGTGTGTGTGTGTGCGTGTGCGTGTGGAGGTGTGTCTGTGTGTGCGGGTGCGCGCGTGTGTGCGTGTGCGCATGCGCGTGTGTGTGTGTGTGTGGTGTGTGTGTGTGTGCGTGTGCGTGTGCGTGTGTGCATGCGTGTGTGCGTCTGCGTGTGCGTGTGCGTGTGCGCGTGTGCGGGTGCGTGTGCGTGAGTGTGTGCGTGTTCCAGATCGCCAGAGCAGTCACCCTCTGCCAAGACACCGACGGGAAAAAGTGTGTGTGTGTGTGCGTGTGCGTGTGAGTGTGCAAGTGTGTGTACGTGTGCGTGTGCGTGTGCGTGTGCGTGTGCGTGTGCGTGTGCGTGTGCGTGTGCGTGTGCGTGTGCGCGTGCGTGTGCGCGTGTGTGTGTGTGTGCGTGTCGGTGTGTGTGTGTGTGCGTGTGCGTGTGCGTGTGCGCGTGCTTGCGTACGTGTGTGCGTGTGCGAATGCGTGTGCGGGTGCGCGTGTGTGTGCGTGTGCGTGTGCGCGTGCGTGTGCGAAGGTGTGTGCGTGTGCGTGTGCGTGTGCGAGTGTGTGTGTGTGTGTGCATGCGTGCGTGTATGCATGTGCGTGTGCGTCTGAGCGGGGGGTGCGGCACTTGGGCACAGCACGGCACCTTCTCCGCATCCTCTGGAGGCCAGGCATGGCACGGCACGTCACCGCACTCGGGCACGGCACGGCACGGCACCCGACGGCATGCGGGCGGCATGCGGGCGGCATTGTTTTCACACTTTGGATGCCAGAAACGCCTTTTTCCAACAGAACTGGAACTCCTGACAGCACTCCTCCTCCCCCTCCTCCTCCTTCTCCTCTTCCTCCTCCTCCTCCTCCTCCTCCTCCTCCTCCTCCTCCTCCTCCTCCTCCTCCTCCTCCTCCCCCTCCTAATCAGCGCGACCAAAAGGAAGCAGAACTGGGCAAGGCGTGGCCGTTTCGTTCCTGGCTCTGCTCCTGGGCCGCCCGCGACGCCCGGATCCGCTTGTAGGCCTCCTTGGCCTCCACGGCGGGGCACACGGGGCGGGCGATCTTCTCCCCCCCTCCAACACATCATCCTCCCCCTCCATTTCTCTCCCCCTTCCTGCTCGTCCTCCTCCTCCTCATCCATCTCCGCCTCCTCACCATCTTCATCACCACCACCACCACCAGAACCATCATCATCAGCAGCAGCAGCATCATCCTCATCATCATCGTCATCGTCATCATCGACATCAGCATCAGCATCATAACCACCACCAGCATCATCATCAGCAGCAGCAACAGCGTCAGCATCAGCATCACGAAGGGCAGCGAGGGGGCCACGAAGGGCTGCAACGGGGCCACGAAGGGCTGCGACGGGGCCACGGAGGGGAGGCCACGAGGGGCTGCAACGGGGCCACGAAGGGCAGCGAGGGGGCCACGAAACAAAGCGAGGGGGCCACGAAGGGCTGCCATGGGGCCACGAAGGGCAGCGAGATCCCGATTCCTATGTAATCTGTGAGGGAGTCCTAAGCGTGAGCGCGACTCCTGGGTGCCTGGGTGTCGGGAGCGCGGCGCTTGAGTAAATTGCAGGGAATTCCAACGCAAGGGCGCTATTCTGCAGTAAATTGCAAGCAAGTCTCCAGTGAGAACGCGACTCCAGAGCGCCGGGAGAATAAATTCTCAGGAAATCCCAAGCGAAGAGCGCGATTCCTGAATAAAACGCGAGGAAGTCTCGGGCGGGAGCGGGGGTCTTTGCTAAAATGTGAAGACGTCTCAGGCGGGAGCCGTTGTTGTTGTAAACCGGGGGCCAACGACACAGATTGACCCTCAAGACTTTCCCTGATAAAAAAACAAGGTGCGAGCCCCGGGAAGGGCACTTCAATCGAAAAAAACAATGTACACCGGACGGGGGGGATCAACAATAACTGTTCTTCAGAAATAAGAGTTCAACAGCAACAACAGCCACAACCACAACAACAACAAAAACAACAACCAAAAAAAAACAACGATGACGACGACGACAAACACGATGACGACAGCAACATCATCATCATCATCATCATCATCATCATCATCATCATCATCATCATCATCATCATCATCATCATCATCATCAGCATCATCATCATCATCATCAGCAGCAGCAGCAGCATCATATCATCACAATCCTCACCATCACCAGCGTCGTCAGAATCAGCATCAACGTCATTAGCAGCAGCATCATCATCATCATCACCATCACCATCACCATCACCATCATCATCATCATCATCATCATCATCATCATCATCATCATCATCATCACCAGTACACTTGTCATCGCAGTCGTCACCTTATCATCGACCTAATCCCCCCATTCCCCCTCCTGCGCATCCTCTCCCTCCTCCTCCCCCTCCTCCTCCTCCTCCTCCTCCTCCTCCTCCTCCTCATCATCATCATCATCATCATCAGCATCAGCATCCGCATCAGCATCAGCAGCAGCATCATCATCATCATCAGCATCATCATCATCATCATCATCATCATCATCATCATCATCAACCACCACCACCACCACCACCACCACCACCATCATCATCATCATCATCATCATCATCATCATCATCATCATCATCATCATCATCATCATCATCATCATCATCATCATCATCATCATCATCTTTTCCGCTCTTCCCACTTCTCCTCTAACTCCCCCTCCTCCTCTCCCCCCTCCTCCCTCCTTCCTCCGGCCTTGCTCGGGGCAGGTGGCCAGGGCGCTCTGCTAGAGCCAAGGCCTTTCACGCTACCTTTCGCAGGCGTCAGGTTGTGCTCGCATCTCGGTGAAAACTCGTTCACCTCCTGTTCCTCATTATCTTCCTCAACTTCCAACTCTTATAGGATCTGCCGACACCCCTGGGCTGCAGGACGACGATGGCCCAAACTAACGACAAATCGGAAGCAAAGAATGCAAGAAAGAACAGTGGAAGGCAACAAGAAGGGACAGGGAAGGACGAACCTCCTCCTCCTCCTCCTCCTCATTCTGCCTCCTCCTCCTTCTCCTCCTCAGACTCCTCCTCCTCCTCCCTCCTCCTCCTCCTCCTCCTCCTCCTCCTCCTCCTCCTCTTCCTCCTCCTCCTCGTCTCACCATTATACTTCTCATCATCCTCTGTCAATCCTCCTCCCCCTTGTCCTCTTCCTCCTCCTCCCCCTGCTCCTCCTCCTTATTCTGCCTCCTCCTGTCCCCTTCCCCCTTCTCCTCCTCCTCATCTTCCTCCTCCTCCCTCCTCCTCCTCCTCCTCTCCTCCTCCTCCCTCCTCCTCCTCCTACTCCTCCTCTCCTCCTCCTCCTACTACTCCTACTCCTACTCCTACTCCTACTCTACTCCTACTCCTACTCCTACTCCTACTCCTACTCCTACTCCTACTCCTACTCCTACTCCTACTCCTTCTCATTCTGCCTCCTCCTCCTCCTTCTCCTCCCCCCTCTCATCCTCTTCCTCCTCCTCCTCCTCCTCCTTCCTCATTCTCCTTCTGTTCCCTGCCCCCGACGACGACAGCGATGACGCCGACAACGACGACGACGACGACGACGACGACGACGACGACCACGGCCACCACCACCTCCACCACCACGAAGACCGCCACTGCGACGTCAGACGACGACGACAACGACCACGACGACGACAACGACGACGACGGCCATCACGGCGGCCAGAACGGCCACCACAACCACCACCACCACCACGGCGCCGCCTTCGGCGACGGTCACCACCGCGGCGACGGCAGCGATGACGACGACGACAGCCACGACAACGACGACGACGACGACGACGACGACGACGACGACGGCGACGACGACGACGACGACGACGGCGACGGCGACTGAGGACATCACAACCCACCCCCACACCCAGCCAGGACCCCCACTCCCGACCGGATGATCTAGAAGGTCCTGGCTGAGGGTGTGCGTGGTATTTGCCCAGAGAAACCACCATCCACCCCCAGCCAGGACCCCCTGGATCACCAGGCCAAGATTGGGGGTCCTATCTCGGGGTGGGGGTGGGTTGTGCTGCCCTCAGACACGGCGACGGCGACGGCGACAGGCGGCGGGCGGCGGCCGGCTGGGGGGGGTGACACCTCCTTCTCCGAGAAGTGCGCGTTCTTCGCCTCGGCGCGCGGGGATCGGGGGGGCAGGGTCGGCAGGGGCGGCGCGGCGGCGGCCTTTGCAGGGCGCGCCGGACTCCGAGTCCCCCGCCGAGGGCGGCGATCTGGCCATCTGGCCATCCGAACGTCGCCGCGGCGACCCGAGGGGGGGAAGAGCAACAAACAAACAAAAAATGTCAGACAAAAACCACAAAGAGGGCGACAGCTGGTTTTCTTGCCCCCCCACCCGTGACAGAAGGGCGGCGGGCGGGCCCGCCCCACTCTCTGTCATGGGAGGGCGGGGCGCGGACGCCCCGGCTGCCATGGAGGGATGACGAGGTGGCCAGCGACACGGCGGCGATCCCGCCCCCCTCTGGCGCGGAACAGCGGGGCGCGGACGCCCCCGCAGCAGTGGAAGGGCGGCGAGAGAGGCTGGCGAGACGACAGGGAGACAGGCTGGGACGACCTGGTGGCTGAACTGAAGGATTCGGGTGTGCTGGCGCACGTGACGCTCAGTGGTGACCCCTGGGGGCCATATCGCCGAAGGAACTCAAGAGAGGGTCTCGCGACCACGGCGAAGAGGAACTACACAGGCGTGCGGCGGCCCGACAAAACTCGAGGCGGCCGCTGTTGGGCAAGGCACGACTGGGGATGGCAACTCGGCCTCGGGAAGGAGGCCTGATGTCGAGGGGCTCTGGTCTCGAAAACGACGAAGCGCCGGATGTTTGGACGCGCCCCCAGACCGCCCGCCAGAATCCCCGGGGTGGATCCAGCCCTGGCAACCAGGGCACCCAAAAAGTCGACGAAATGGTCCCAAGGAAAAATTTGGAGTCCCGAAACGGCGCGGTGACAGACCGCGCGGAGACCTCGGAACCCCAACAGACATCGCCGCACGGTCCGTCACCGCACGGTCTTGGGACCCCGGAGGCCCCTGTCGCCCGAGATATTCTCGGAGAACGACCAGAGTTCCAAAACCGCGCGGTGACCCCAAATCCCCACCGACTCACCGAACGGCGCGGTCACCATAACGTTTGGGTGCCCCCGGAAAAACTGCCGAGAGGCTGCATTATCCACTGGAAAAACTCTAGCCCAAAACCTCGATCATCCATCCTTGAACCTCGAACCTCGAACCTTCGAACCTCGACGACTCTCTGATGCGAGGGCCATCGGCCCCTTGGGCCCAGTCTGGGCCCAACGGGGACAGGGCGACGCGCAAACGGCGCGCCACCATCAGTACCCCGCGCTCTTCTTCTTCTCGTTGAACTCCTTGGCCAAGGACGAAGCCCCAGGCTGCAGTCCCTTCCTGATCCTCGCGAGGTTATGATTGCCCATCTGCTCGGGCACCTCGCTGCACTTTGCCACGAGGCCCCCCATCCCTTCTCGCCCAGTGCACCCACACAGCGTGCAGTAGCGCAGCCGCAGGGCCCCGTCGCACACAACGTTGCGCGACGCATGCGCATCCTGATGACCGACCCTCGGGTGGCCGATGATCGAGCCGCGCGCCGCGGCCGTCTTGACCCTGGCGCTGCACCCCCCCGCCAGCCACTCGGCCGCTGCAGCCGCGAGCGTGACCGACCCGCAGCGCAAGCACTTGCAGTGCTTCCCCTCGAACTTGATGTTGTGCCTGGTTTCCGCCAGCAGCTTGTCGCGCCTCCGCTTCGCTACGCAGGCCCCCTCCTGGATCTCCACGCTCGGCGCCTGCGACGGTTCTACCTCGATGGACGCCATCGAGGCCCCGAACGCGCGGCCCCTGATCCGCTTCGCCACGCCCCCCGCGAAGCCGACGGAGCGTGACTGCGCCCGCGGGACCTGGACCTGCTCGACGACGCCGTCCACGAAGCTGTCCGCGATCGAATTGCCGAGCCAGTCGATCGGGTTGACGCCCCTTTCCAGCGCCTCCTGCGCCTTCAGGTGGCTCTCCACCTTCACGATGCCCAGCTGCCTGCATTCGATACTCCGCTTGGCCGCCATCAACAGGTCCACGTGCGTCTTCGGGATCTCGCCCTTCACCAGCTTCTGCGCGCCGCGCACCACGTACGACGAGCCCGCTGTGCACCTCACTCCGCTGTAGCCTTCGCTCGCCTCGAGAACGTCGCTCAGCGCCGCGAGCTCGCCAAGGTCGACACTCTGTCCCCATCCAGTCAGGGCGCCTATGCCACCGGCCAAAACCAAGGCCGCGCACGCATCGAACGAGTTGACAACCACCCACCCCCACGCGATCATTCGGAGCCGCGGGCCCGCCGCGCACTCACCTCCCGACGCGTCGCCCGCTGCAGTGAACCACTCGTCCGTCGCCAGCTGCCCCACGGTGCCGACCCTTTCGCACAGCCCCTCGCCTGGCTCTGGCGATGGCTTGGCCTGCGCCCAGCCTTTCGGTGAGATGCCCCTGAGCCATAGACACGGCTGGTTCCCCACCTCGATCATCGCTCGTTCGATCAGATGGTTTGACCTCTCGCAACCCTCGATCGTCTCTTTGCACTTGCACTCCCACACGCGTTGCTTCCATGTCTCTTGGGCCTCGCCGCACCTCGGGCACGTGAGGTCGTCGATCTCTATGTTCAAGTCCACGACGCGCCACCTGGGCCACACACCACCCGTCATGATGGCGACACACGCGCCAGCCTTGTCGCACTCGCCCTTCCCGCGCAGACGCCCCGTTAGCTTGCGCGCCGACCGAACGCCAGCTCCCTCGGCGAGGCCACCCCCTGCGTAGTGCTGCGCAGCACTGTTCCACTACGCACTTCCTCTCGACGGTGCCCTTGATCGCCGCCTTCAGGCCGCTGGCGTCCACCTGCTCGTCGAGGGCGCTCGGGCCGCTGCTGCCGAACTCCTCGCCGTCGTCGGAGGCCCAGTGCCAAGGCCCCAAGGGCTGCCACCCCAGGTCCATCAGCGCGTTCACCATGGCCCACGCCATCAGGGACGCCCGTGACTCCATGCCACCTCCGCTGCCCTGGCTTGCTCTGCATGCCGTCGACGATCCTCGGCCAGATGATGCTGACCTTCCGCCTGCGCCTCGCATCGCTGACGACGCGCACCCACGAGTCCGGCAGCGCGAACGTCGCACCGAAGCCTGGGTTGCTGACGCCGAGCTCCAGCTGCATCAGCGCCGCGAGGCGCCGACCCCAAGCCGTGGAGCGACCACTGCAGCCAACCGACGCCTCCACTTCGCCACCGCGCTGGCCGCCACCCCAAACACCTTGCACGAGTAGGCCGCTCAAGGTAACGACCCGCGCAGCACAGCTTGCCAGGTTCCACCTCGTGCCCTGCGACCACTGCGCGCCATCTTTAACGCCTTGGCCACCTGGCGCTCCGCGTGGGCAGCGTGCCTCGCGCGCTTGCCCTTGCCCCCGCCTACGCCGCGGCCCCCGTCGATGCCCTAGTCTGGGGCCTGACCCTTCACCCTCACCGTGATGACGCGCGCCCCGAACTTCAGCGCGATCTCCTTCACGACCTCCACGTCGTTGCCGATGACGACCGACTTGCTGGACAGCTCGAGCGCGCCCTGCCGCGCACCAGCTGCGAAGTCGGCGCCTGCTGCCGCGAGCTGCCTCGCGACCTCGCGACGGGGCCCCATCCCGCCTCGCCGCGACGTCGTCGACCCACGCGCGCACGAACACCGTCTGGCACTTGTTGCTGATCCTCCTCAGCGCGGCGCACAGCGCCACCCCGCCGAAGTCGATGCGTCGGCGCGCTCCTGCGCAGATGGAGCGCCCTGGGGAGATAGGAGACGCGTAGGCCGCCCGCCCCCTAACTAGCCGCGCGCCCAGGCGGCCCAGGATCTCCAGGTGCAAAGTGCGAGCTGGAAGCCCGTGCCTGCGCCTCTCCTCCAGGATGAGGGGCGGCTGCAGCGCGTCGTAGAATGCCGTCTGGCCCCACGGCGAAGTAGCCGCGCACACCTCCATGGGCGCCCACTCCAGCACCGTCGGCGAACGACCGCACCAGCGCCTCCTTCAGCGCGCTGGCTGTTGCCTGCCACCGCGGCGCCCCACTTGCCTGCCACGTGCTGCACCCACTCGTTGGTGCACTCGCCCCTGATCTTAGACCAGGCCCCCATCACCTCCGAGAGAAGCCCTAATCGCTCGATCGCCTCCAGCGCCCTTCCGAAGTACACTCACCAGCGTGACCATAAGCTGCCATGGCCACGCCCCCTCGCGCTCGATGCTGACCCAGCATGCTCAGCAGCTCCTGCCTCGCGCTCGGGGGCAGCCACTTGCACGGTAAAGCCTCCATCTGCTCGATACCCTTCGCCTTGCACTCTGACATGCTGCCGATCGCGTGGTCGACGATGGTGATGGGGGCCCACTACTCCTCGATCGACGCCGCCCTGCTGTCCCCGACCCTCGCCAAGATGGCGGCCCCGCTGTGGCAACTGGTCCACTCCTGCTTCCACTGAGCCTCTTTCGCGCCCATGTACTCCACCATTTTGGCGGACATGTAGTCGCCGCCCCTGACCTCGTTGTCGCACCTCGGCTTGTCGCGAGTGCCACGGCGCAGCCTGCCGCCGCCAAGCGCCTCCTGCCCTTTCACCCAGCTGGCGCAGGCAATCAGCGCCTCGTTCACCTCGGCGCGCTTCCCCTATCTCGCCGTTGCCAAGGCTGCGACGCCGAGGGCATGTAGTTGGTCTTTGCCCATGCTGCGAACCCCGACTTGGATCTCGCGCACTTCCTCTTCTGCTTGATCGTCATCTTGATGATGCCGCCGCTGGGGTTGACGGTGGCCATGGCCTGGATTCGCTCCTTCAGGCGTTGGCCACGCTGCCCATCACCTTCGCATCGCTGCAGCTCCACCAAGCACGATGACAGCGCACCCCACCAAGAGATCGAGCCGCCCATCTCGCGCGACACTGCTCCCTTCCAGCGCAGAACCTTCATGGAGAAGCAAACGGCCCCCACCCGCCCGCTGTACATGCGCCTCTCGCTGGGCGCAATCTCCAGCATGCTCAGGTAGAACTGCTCCGTCGCGTGGACCCGCGCGCCGAACTGCGCGCCTAGCTAGTTGGCTCCGCTGTGGTCAAACTCGCATGCTGCCGAGTCCTGGGTGCGTTCTGGGGGAACCCTCCAGCGCCCGCGGCCCTCCTCGAAAGCGCGCTCTGCCTTCGGGGGCCACGGCTGGTCGCGCTCCTCCAGCCCGATGCCGAAGATCTCCTCGACGGTGGCCTTCGGCCCCCTCACCCCCCCCTGCTCACCGTGGTCGCCGATGCGGCCGAGCTCCTCGCTGGACTCGCACTCGCCGAAGAGGTCGTCCAACACCCCGCCCACGACCTCGCGCTCACCCGGCAGGGCCTCGCAGCGGACGGGCTCGAAACCGCCGCCGCTCGCACCCGGGCGGGCGGGCCCCGGAAGAGTCGGGGGCTCTGACCCTTCTGCAGCGCACCCTAGCCCCTCGTTGAAGCTGCGCTGCTTGTGCTTCTCCTTCTGCCTGGACCTCTTGCCGCTCGGGCCCGCCTGTTTCATGGCATGCCGGGCAGGGGAAGCGGTTTGGGGGGCCAGGCATCCTGCGCGGAGCTGCCGTCGCATCTCCATGAAGATGAAGCCGAACTCCGCAGTGGCCCCCAGAATCGCTCTGGTCCGACTCCACGCTAATCAGGATGCACTGGAACGACCCCCAGCACAGCGCGCAGTCCAGCACGCGCGCGGGGTTGCGCGCGCAAGTGCAGCTCACGTCTGCGGGCGCCCGCGCCACCGCACCCAGCAGTGACGACCAGCCAGCCTGTTTGATCTCGCGCGGCTCCGCGCCCCAGTCACCGATGGCGACCCAAGGCCCAGCGCGCCCGCGCACAAGCGCTGCCAACCGCGCCTGCTTCGCCTGGCCCCCGCCTGTCACCACGGTGGACGGCGCGAGGTAGATGCCCGCGACGAGGATCGCCTGCCCTCGCCACTTCCACGCGACCGCTGCCATGTCCTGGAAATCGATCGGCCCCGGCGACCAATCGGCGTCGAGTTGACGCAAGCCAAACGCCTGCTGCTTCTTGGCGGCGAGGCCCCGCAGAGACTGCACGGAGCACTGACTCCGAGCTGAGAGCCCAATGCCTCCAGAAAGATCCGCTCTCTTGCTGCGCTGGGCAGGCGTGACCACCGCCTTCCAGCCCTTGAAATCCAAAAACTCGAAGGTCTCGTTGCTCCCGTCTGCGCCGACGTGCGTCTCGGGGAAGATGAAGATGGAGTCCTGGTTCGCCTCGATTCGCTTCTTCAAGCGAGAACCCCAGTTCGAGAGGTTGTGCATGTAGATGGTATGGCTGGAACTGCTGCGCGCTACCACCCGCCTTGGCACGTGCTCTCGCGGCCTCCACTGCGGCTGCGAGCTCATTTTTCTCCTTGCTCTCCTTCTCCGCGAGCGCCTCGGCTGACGGGGTCTGTGGCGCTGCTGGTGCCGCGCCTGCGCCTGCACTCCCGGCTGCATCTCCTGGTGCACCTGCTGCTGGAGCACAACCAGCGGCTGGCGTGGCTGGGGCTGCTGGAGGCTGCTCGCCGTCCTTGGCGTCCCCCGCGATGTTGCGTTTCTTTTGCCTGCTGCTTCGCCTGACGGAGCCGTTCCGCTGCGGCTGCGAAGGCGGCCCTGGCGGCGCTCTTTGCCGCGTCGACGAAGTCCCTCTTACGCTTTTCGATGTCCTCCTTGTCGCTCGCCGAAATGCCGAGCCCCCCGCTGCCCTCGAAGAAGGCCCCGAGGTCCACGTCGATGTCAAGGTCCTCCGAGAGCGCCCCGATGGGCAGTAGGGCCGACCTGACTTGGCGCGCGCCTCCTGCTGCTGCTCCTCCGAGTGGGCGTCGCTGAAGTTCCGTTTTGACTTCATTTTCTGTTGCTGCAACCTCCGCGCTGCGGGCTGCCAGGTCGCCCTCTGGTTGCTGCAGTTCGTCACGAAGCCGCTCACGCTTCCTGTAGACCTTCGTTTGCGCCGCCTGGGCCTTCTGGACACGATCCTCTGCAGCACGAAGCACGGCACGTGACCCAGGGGCGTGTGGAACTGATGCTGCTGGGGCTGGAGCGGCCTCCGCCAAGATCTCGCTGAGGATTTGTTTGTGTTTGACGTCCACCTTGGCTGCGGCGAGCTCCAGCAGATTGTGCAACGGAATGTCCGTGAGCGGTTGGTCGTAGCCTCCTCCGTGTCCGCCCTGAACTCCAGACCCTTGATGAATGGAGAACTTTTTGCGTTTGTTGCCGCCGCCGCTGAGAATTGGCCAATCACCACTGTCCCATTCACGTGAAGTTCCTGGTCCTCTTGGTGGTTCCGACGACGACGACGACGACGACGACAACGACGACAACGACGCCGACGACGACGGCGTCGATGACGACGACGAAGCTGCGACGACTTGGAAGCGGCCGGGGGGGTCTGCGCTGGATGGGCCCCACAAAACCGATCAAGAAGAGGGGACGAGGGCAAACACGCTCAAGATCGGTCCTCGGACCCCTCCCGAGGTGGAATCGGACTAGTTTCTTGAGCCGCGTCCAGTCGTGGCGGCGAGGGGGCCCCTTTCTCCTCCCCGCCTGCTGGCTGGAACCAGTGTTGGGCAGCCTCAGACCCCAGCCGGCTCCAAACGACGACGACGACGACGACGACGACGACAACGACGACGACGACAACGACGACGACAACGACGACGACGGCGAACGGCGAACGGCGAACGGCCGCGTTGGCGGCGGTGGCGGCGGCTGCGGCGGCGGCGGCGGCGACGACGACGGCGACGACGAAGACGATGACGACGACGACGACGACGACGACGACGAGGACGACGACGACGAGGACGACGACGACGACGACGACGACGACGACGACGACGACGACGACCCGCCCGCGGACACGAGACGGGCGACCGCGCCTCCCAGAGCTCCTTCGCGCCCGGGTCCACCGGCAGAACAGGCTCGTCGCCCGCCTGGGCGCGCGGGGTGGGGGCGTCAACCCCGGTGGCCAGGACACGAGCTGAACAGTGTTAGCTCCCAATCCTCACTCTCCTCCCTTCTTTTTCACTGGCCACGCAGAGAGTCTCGCAGGCCGCCCCCAGCCCCCGGAACGGGGCCAGAGCGGAAAGCCAAGGACAGGATGCGCAGCGGCCCCACAGCGAGAGGTGAAACACAGGCGCGGGCGGGCGGGACAAGCGGCCCCACTCTCGACCCCCAAATGGCGCCAGACACGCTGCAGGGCGCACGCGCGCGCAGGGAATTCAGGGGGCGGTGAGAGTCTAACTTCGCTTCATCTTCGTGAATCCGAGTTAGCTCCCACTCCTCACCCTCCTACCCTCTTTTTCTACATCGGCCACGCAAAGAGTCTCGCAGGCCGCCCCCAGCCCCAGACCCCTCGAGCCATAAAAGAACGACAATAGGTTTTTGCTGTTTTCGGCCTCCAGGGGCCCTCGCCAGGCCCCGGGGCCGTCAAAGGACGACTCGGGATGAAAAGCCAGTCCCAGGGAACGAATCAAGACCTCTGGGGCACGACGTCGGGGGTCTGGGATCGCTTCATTCAAAACGCTTTCGCCCGGTTTCGGGTGCCCCCAGGGCCCTCACAGATCGATGCAGGTCGAGGAATGCCGCAGAAATCGGGCGCACGCCAACATGGATGACGGGTCAGTGGATCCGGAGCGCGAGCGCCAGATCCACGGATCGGGGAAGGCAACCCCGAAACAGATGGCCACTGTAGTCAGAGTTGGCGACAGGGCGCGTCGAATCTGCACGTTCTTGCCACCTCGACGAGAGCAGGACCAAGGGACTTGTGCGTCTACCAACTTTTCGGAGCCTCAGGTCCTCGTCGCCACTGCCCACGGCTGGATCCGCCTTGACATCCGAGTCAGAACGCGCCCCAAGACAGGCCCGGGAGCCGACTACTCCAGAACCGCTCTGGCTCTTTCTTTGCAGCGGCCCCTTCAAGACATTTTGCAGAGCGCGGGTATACAGCGCCCTTCTCGTCAACGCTCTTCTGCCCTCTCGGCAGCCTGGTGCCCGACGCGTCTTGGCAGCTCTTCTCAAACACCACCCCAGAGTCATAGGATGGCCTCCTAGCACGAAAAGTGGGACACCGACTGCTGAGGCAGGACACCCGACACCCGGATTCGCGCCTCGCGCTGCGCGAGGGGCGAAGCGCGATTCCGCTTGTGTTTCCGCGGTGTCCCCCCCCTGGAAGCGCGCGGCTCTCCGGCCCCGGCCGCGAAGAGGACAGCGCGGCAACCTTCGCGCTCTGACGGGCGCAGGTGTCATCTCTCGCAGGAGGGGCAGGGCGAGGGGAAGGAAGTCTGAAGAGAGGAGAAAAAAACGCGCTGTGTGGGCGCTTGCTTGAAAAAAACCGTGGACACGTCGAACCGCAGCCCCCCTAATGTGAAGTACCAGGGGAAACGGGGAGGCACCCCTCCCCCCAGGACACTGGGCTCTCAACCGCCCCCCCACCCCCCCCACCCTCCCCTCCAAGAAGGGCGGGTGCCAATCGCCCTCCCCCCCTATCCCAGG